CATAAAAGTACACTTTCTGTGAAATGGTGATAGCAGGAGATGCAGTTTCTGAGCAGTAGCAGTCACCAGTGGGTCAAAAGCATCTGTTTACGTGGATCTGAACGATCTGCTGGAGTTTGTTTCCATCCTGGCCACTGGGCTATCACAGTTCAGCAAGGTTCCTGGCCAGCTACATCTTGCAGCGTCCCACTGAAGTAAGGATAGGTGTGGAAGTGTTGGTGAGAAATACAGTATTAAAAAGTACTGTTTGGTCCTTGATTTTGATGTAATTAATAGTTCAGTCAGGCTGAAAGGGAAATGAAGTGTTTGCACAGTGAAATCCCAGAGACTATGATTTTCTTTGTACGGATTCAAGGCTAGTTTTAATAGATCAGTGACAGCTGTTTCATTGCTGCTGCCTGTTAAGAATTTTCATGGGTTTTCCAAGGTCTCAGTATATGTAGAAGCTTCAGTATATGCAGGTTCCACTGATGTCTTAATATATATGATCCATCACTATTCAGATTGGGTCAGACTGTTTCTGTCTTGCTTTGGTAGTTTTTCTGTACAGCTGAAGTTGAGATCTATATTAGCAACTTCTCTTCAACTAGCCAAATAATAATTTCTAGTTTTCTCCTTGCTTTATTGGAAAGCTATAATTTTTGTATTCTATACAGAATTGGAGCAGTTTGTCTACTCTTCAGGTATTTCCAATAGTAGAAGATTATAGAGAATAGAATAGTTCTGTTGGAAAGAATGTACAGATATCATCTAGTTCAAGGCTAGGGCTAACCAAAAAGTAAAGCATATTAATGAGGGTATGATCCAGTTTCCTCTTGATCACTGAGAGCCCCTTGCTGGGAGCCTTGTTGCAGTGTCTGACCACCCTGACGACAGGGCAGTTTTTCGTCATGCCTGGTCTGACCCTCCCCAGCACTGCTTTGTGCCGTTCCCATCCTGCCACCAGTTCCCATGATCACAACCCAGCACCACCTTCTGCTCCCCCTCCTCCCCCTCCATCACTGCAGACAGCAGTGATGTTGCCACTCAGCCTCCTTTTCTCCAGACTGGACAGCCCATATGTCCTCAGTCTCTCCTACCTGGAATGTGTCTTCCAGCCCTCTAAACATCTTTGTTATCCTCCTCTGGACTCTTTCAAGGACTTTGGCATCCTTTCCATATTGTGGAACCCAGAACTGCACACAGTTCTCAAAGTGAGGCCACATCAGTGCTAAATGCAGCAGGAGAAACACGTCTTTTGATGAGACAGCCGTGCTGTGTTTAATGCAGCCCAAAATATGGTTTCCCCTCTAGGGCACACTCCTGGCACATGTTGAACCTGCTGCCACCAGCACCCCCAAATCTCCTTCTGCTAAGCTTTAGTTTACTCTTTTAGGGAAAATAAGTGACTGCACTATGAAAAGTAGTTTATGTTATACAGCAGACCCAGGGAAATGGGTACTATGGACCTTTTGAGACTAAGATTGAAAAAGAAGGATATGTACTTGCAAAGCTGAAGTGCAGGAGGAATTAAACTGGGAAAGTAGTAAGACTGCTGCCCTTTAAAAACAATACAGAATCTCATCTTTAACAATAAGTTTCAATGGCTTATGCTGTGGAGGAAATTGGTGTGGCAACAGGAAAACATTTTCAGAATTACATAGTCTTAGCTTCCAGGAAAAGGAGATTGAAAGATGAGATAAGGGTGCCAGAAGGAATATAAAGCTTTGCAGGTCTTGTGCTTCAATTTACTGATGTGATTCCAGCCTCATTTCTCCTTCTCTGAACCTAAGGTTTAAATAGGTTTTACTTATTTATACATTCCTCTTGGCTAAAGAATCTAGAAGGCCATTAGATGCTAAACCTCTACACTTTTGGAATCTCCTGAGGATATGGGTATTTCTGAAACTTGCATCCCATTTCTGTTTTCAGTGCAACACCCGAATCACTTCCCACCTCACTGCCACAACCCTACACCACTGGACTGATGAATTTCACATTTTAATGATATAAGCCTGAAAAACGATAGCTTTTGGGATAATGCAGTATGTTCTGTGTTCGTGTAGTGGGGTCTCTGGATAATATCTGAAATCTGGAGTTTAGTTTCTTGCCTTATAATTCAAACCCACCTGCTGTTCATAGCCAGGTTACTCTACTAAAAACACTGTGCTGAGAAAAAAAAATAAATCAGGATATATCATAGAGCATTTATGATAAAATTACGGAGTTAGAATTTGAGATTGTTCAACACGGACCAGCTTGGGAGACTTAGTTTGAGACTTAGAAATGAAAGGGCTAATGTGAACAGGGTGAGATAACTGGGAAATGCAGATAATCATCCGCAGCAAAGGTTTTGGACGTGCACTTTAATGAGCTGATGCTGAATCAGTCTCATTTCTTACTCACCAGTAGTCAACACACCTGACGACAATAAACCAAACACCCTCTCATTGCCCATTCATTCTATAACATGACGGACTTAAATAACTAATTTTAAAAATGCTATAACATTAGCATGGAGGTTAATTGCCATCTTCAGCTGCACCACTGCCAAGACATGACATTTTTGCAGTGTCTCGGCCCCAGTCTGGTTTGGAGTCAGGAGTTGTTTACCTTGGAAAGCTCTGAAGGACATTCAGCTGGTTTTGGTTTTCTTTGAATGCTTCCAAAGCCAGGGTTGTGCTAATTGTTACAGTTTCAGAGGCTGGAAGTTGTCACAGAAACATTATTTGGTTCAGCTTAATTACGTATACAATAAATCTACAGGAATGTTCTTTCTGTGGTCTTATAGTAAAGCAATGATCAACTGTTATGAATAAGTGTCCATATATACATGCATACAAACTCTCTAATTTCTAAATATATGTATATATATGTAAAGACACGGTGTGCTGAAGAATTTCCTTTAAGGTGTTTTCTGATCTGGAAACAGATTCAGTCACAAGATTTAGACCCCACATCCTTTAAAAACTGTCCTATTTCAGACGTGTATGTATGTGTTCAAGTAGTGCTCAAGCTGGGAGGAGCTGTTGGCTCTCCCAAAAGTGCACAGACCTTGCAAGGAGGTCTTGGCATACTGCTGCACTGGGCAGTCCCCAGGCAGGCCCTCAGGTACCCAAATGGAGAGGCACAGACTGGTTTTGCTTTTTAAAAAAATTGCTTAGGTTTTTATTGTTATTATTTTGTGTTGTCCTTTTAAATTGTTTATGGTCCAGTGTTGAAACGAAAGTCCCAATGGAGCAACTGGAATAGACCTTCATGCTGCACTTCGGCCCTTCTTCCCATCCAAACCAAAGTCTTCTGCTTCTCCAAAGGAACAGCTGCCTCTGTAGCTTCATTAAACTTGTGGATGACGCTTAAATGGGAGGAGCACTGATTGCCTTGAGAGTACAGAGGCTCCAAAGTCTTGAGAGATTTGAGGGTAGTTTCTGGCTGCACAAAGAAGAGAAGTGCTGGGCTGTGCAGCTGGGACAACCCTGGCAGCCCCACGGAAAGAGACCTGGGGGTTCTGGCTGGCAGCAAGTTGTTCACAAATCACAGTGTGCCCTGGCAGCCAGAAGGGCCAGCCGTCCCCTGGGGTGCATCAGGCCCAGCACTGCTGGCCAGGCGAGGGAAGGGGTTGTCCTGCTGTGCTCTGGGTGCCACAACATAAGAAGGGCATAAAGCTGTGAATAAACTGCTTGTTGCAGTGTGTTTTTTGTTTGTCCATTAGTAGATTGTTCACAGTAGGGATGTTGTGCTCCTTCAAGAATCAGTGGAAAGATTTTCTTCCACTTTTACTGTCTTCCAGAGTAGTGCAGCTTCTATTTTGGAGTCCCAATAACTTTTTTTATTTCCATAAAAATGTTCCCTTATAATTTCAGCTTGTGAAAGGAACAGAATGGAAGAAGTGGGCAAAACACTAAATTGCAACATCTATCAAAATGTGTGGAATAATGTATTTGTAATTATTTTTCTTAGATATATATTGAACAACAAAGCAAATGAGCTCGCCGAGTTGAAGAAATGTCAGATAAACAAACTGTGACACTTGTCGTGTTATTACCATCTGACATGTCTCAAACACTGATTTTACTAACTCATCTTTCATTCTTTATATCTGCATGAGTAACGACGCATGCATTTATATTTCATAAAAAGGGCAAAGTCTGTAGTCAAAGCTTCTGAGTTATGCTGTTAAAAATAAATTAAGGAACAGCAGGTGAAAATGATTCTTACACATGAATATTCAAACTTTACCTCAGACAGATACTGTAGAAAGAATAATACAGGATGATGAAACTTTGTTGAGACTAAAGCATTGATGTGCTCTGAAATAAAAGTGGCATAAGGTTGAGCTGGCTCACAGAATTTACTGAAAGAGGGGCATGGTCTGCTCGTGTATGCCATTGCCAAAACATCCAAGAGTGCCTCCCAGGAATTAAAAATGGAGGGAGCATCAGCACTAGGGCAGAGGATGTCTGGCAGTGTCCGTCTTGGTTCTTGTACTCCTGTGCCTCAGTCAGAGCAGAGTGGGCTTGGGGCTTCAAGGAGGGTGCAGGAGTGTAATGGTGAGAGACCTAAGCCCGTTCCTTCTCTTCTGACTGCTATTTTCTTGCATCACTTAGGTAGGTCTGCATTCACTGAGGTATTGGGAAGGACTGTGTGTATAAAAGTGAAGAAAGTGCAGCTTTAAGCTTCAGCTTTAAGCAGTACTTAAATCATGCTGCCATTGTTGGGTTTGGTGACATTTCACAGGACTCAGAAGCACGACCTCTGTTCAGTGCCCTATGACAGGATTTTCACTGATGGTTCAGCAGCTAGAATACATTAGTGGGTCAGACTTTAATTTCCCTTTGCCTTTGCTCCTTCTCTCAAAAACGTAATATCGCTTTTACATTGTAAAGGCAAGAGCACTCAGAACTGGGAGGGACCCAGATATCTGGCAATATGGCAGGAGGCATATTAATGGTGGCCGATTTCTTTCAAAGTTGAATTAATCTGTTATTTCTCTTGTTATTTATTTTCTCTTTGCCTCACAGATCCTGTTCATGGACCACAGAATGTAGAAGTTGTTGATATCCGTTCCCGGCAGCTGACATTGCAGTGGGAGCCCTTTGGTTATGCGGTGACCCGCTGCCACAGCTACAATCTCACAGTCCAGTACCAGTATGTCTTTAACCAGCAAAAATTTGAGGCAGAGGAACTCATCCAAACATCTTCCCACTACACCTTGCGAGGTCTGCGGCCGTTCATGACCATCAGGCTGAGACTGGCCCTTTCTAATCCAGAAGGCAAAATGGAGAGTGAGGAGCTGGTTGTGCAGACTGAGGAGGATGGTAAGTTATGCTGGGTTTGCTTGCTAGCTTCTTTTTTTGTGAAGGCATTGTAATATTTTTGAACTGTAGATAACAGCATAATCTTCTGTCCCAGAAGACTTATAAATGGCTTCTCTGGACAGGATGTACGTTACGCAAGTTAAATTTGTAGGTATAAATAATTTCCATTTTACAGCGGTGTTCTTGAAAGGGCAGGACTCCCTGAAGTGCTTGGAAATGACAAGCACCAGTTTGAGCAGTTACTGAACAGCAGTAGGTTTAATTCTGTAAAAGTTGTGTTCTGAACTACCCAGGACCTACAGAGCAGCTTCCTTTATCATATGGGCAAATATAATTCTGACATTAGTCTTTTCTTTTTTTTTTTCTGGTTCCTTTACATCACAGTCCCCAAAGAGTTATAATGTCTTCCTTTCTAAAGTGTGTTTTTTCTTAATGCTGACCTTCTAGATGTAGCATTTTATATATGCCTCGGATGTTAAATTCTTCTGGTGCTAACTCTTCCATTCCGAGACAAAAGAACACTTCTCAAGAAGTACTGATGGAAAGCTTTAAAGTGTTATTATCCCATCTGAGCTATTTCAGACTAAGAACTCTCCTAAACTACAAGCTTCCATTCTGTCTAGTGTTAAAAAGAAATGTTCTTCCTCTGCCAGAGCAATAAGAGGTTGCTTTCCTAAGTTTCTCTCAGCTGAAAGTGATTCCAGACATCTAATATATCATACAAGGGACTTAAGAGGATGGCAGATCTTTCTGAAAAAATGAGTGGGGTTTTTATCAGTCAGGCTTGGAAGTGTACTTAGTTATCTTTCACAGCATTAAAATTTTGCTTGGGTAGGTGGATTTTTAGGTGGCCTTGTAGCCATCTTGAAACATAAATCTTATCTTGTCCTTAACTAGGGAAATCAATCTTCCATATTGATAAAGGTGTGCAGCTCATAGCATCTTTATGCCGAGGTGCAATCTGGCTGTTTAGGTGGATGGAGCTTTGCTGTTGTGTAGGTGAAGGAGGACACAGTATGTTTCCTACTGAGTGTAACTGTCCTTTAGCACTGTGTCCAAATGATTCTGTCCTCAAACACTCTCCATCCTGTGTATCTGATGGAAGACAGGCAGATGGACAAGATTTAGCTTGTAAGCAAAATGTAAATACACAGCACTGCAGTCTTACAAATTAGCAGAGAGCACACTAAGCCTTTAAAAGAGAATTATTCGTGTCCTGCCTTGTCCACCTGTGTAATGCCTTGAGTTGTCATGTGCATATATCATCTGTAATGTTCCCAGGTGGAAAGCATGAGATAGGGAAGGCATTGTCCAAAGGAGCTGGAAGAGGAGCTGAAATTGCTCACTGCAAATAATTTTTGAAGGAGGCTACACTGCCTACGTTATTACTGATCCTCACAGTGTGTTTGAAGGGCAAATCCTGCTTCCTTGTGGATTTGCTACTCTTCCAACTCTCAAGCAGTTTGTTGATGCAGCAGCGTCAAGCTTGTTAATGACCCGATATTGGTGAACTTTTTCTAGATAAAACACAGCTCCATTGGAAATACAAGGATGTTGTATTCCAGAACAGGGAGAGAATTAAAGAAAGGCTACTCCCTGTAACTACACTCCTTGACATGGTGTGGGCATTGTGGACATTTCTGCAATGTTACAGTGATGATGAGATGGCCTGGGGAGTCTAAAGCACAGAAAAGAGACATTTAAATGATCAGAAGGTTGTATCAGAACTCAGACAAAAGGAACAGCGTGCCACCTCATCACTCTTCCACGTGGTAAGGACAGGCCTAGGTTATGTTCCTGCCTCAGTGAGTCAGAAGACTTCCATAAAAGCCGTGCAGACCAGCTGAGCGCAGCGCTGCAGATGGAACAGTGAGCACTGCTGGTGCTCTCCTCTGGCCAGTTTGCTGAGGTGGCTCAGTGCCTCACTGCACTGCGCTGCAAGGACGTGCCATGAGGTTATCCAGTGGTGCAGCAATACATGCAAGCGGGAAGATCTTCATGCACTGTTCTTTGAGAACTGCAAATATCACTGCTTACATTACCTTCTGTACATCAAGCTTTACCTGCAGAGTGTAAATTACTGTTATTTGCACTCATGCAAATAGGTGTGTTTGAGGTGAAGTTGAATTGGTTTCACTTGTTTAAGTTCTTTTTATTTAAAATATTTATTTTTTGCATCTTAACATATGAATAGAAGAGAAGCTTAGAAAAATATGAACATACTGCAATACTGGTTAAAAATAAATGCTTAATTTGGGGTAAAATTAAACATCTATTTTGTGATGTTGTATGGAAGCAGGCAGCATAAGTCTGTCTGTTTATGCAAGGAAAACTCTTACAGGTGGTTTAGTGGATAAACAAATAAATTCATTTTCTGTAGTTTTGGTTCCTTTTTAAGTACTCAAAGATTTTCTACTGTGGGATGAAGGCATACTGGAGCCAGCTTTGTATTGTCATGGATTCTGATTTTGTTTCTCACTTAGTGATTTTCTTTAATTACTATTATTTTTATTTTTTATTTTCAGCAATGAACTTTGCCTGGTGGTCTCTTGGTGTCTTCAGATGTGTGTGGCAGCTGGAGCTTGTGGTAGCTTCTAACACAGCATTGTGTTTGCTTTTTTTTTTTTAATTCTGTAGTTCCTGGACCTGTTCCCTTGGAATCCATCCAGGGAGGACCTTTTGAAGAGAAGATCTATGTTCAGTGGAAGCCTCCAAATGAGACAAATGGCATCATTACACTTTATGAGGTGAGGAGAACTGGCTTTTGTCAAAGCACGTATGCCATAGGGCCTTTCTCATATGTGTTTAAGCCAGTCATGAGCTCTGGGAGATTTCAGAAAACACTATGATAAGCCTGAATAAAATACATAAGAATATTTGAGATATTCTGCTGTTGTCACTGAAAAAGTGTTCCAGTTCAAGGCATGTGGGGACTGGGGGGAGGAATGCTTCACCAGTATTTGTGGCAAATTTTGCCAAGGGATAATCCTTTACTGGAGTCAGAAGTTGTGTTTTGTTGGTCATTGTGCAGTCACTTGGAAAAATCTCTGCAGATTGCAAAGGATCTGTCCTGAACTCAAGCAAACCCTTGGAATTTCATGGCTTTTGCAGGTAGAATAGGCTATCCTCTGTATATGAGTGAGGAGTTACGCACTAAAGCAATCTGCATTTTTTAAGAAATTGGTCTGAATAGAGTCAGTTGCGAATGCATTATTTTTCTGGCAGTGGACGTGACCTATAATGGAACACATTTAAAGCAATCCCAGTCAAATGATGCAAAAATAACTCCTTTTAATTTTTAAAGAGGCAGTTTCCTTCTAAAATATTGCCTTGGGCTCAGCTCATTGAAAGGACTTCAGCAAACCAAGTAGCTTTTCTGGCAGAGCAGCTGCATAGAGATATTTTAATGCCTCCAGGGTAGTGATGCTTCATGACTGTGCCTTTGCCCCTCGAGTCATACCACTGCTCGAGTCTCAGTGAGGCACAAACAGATCTTTTCTTTTCTGATAATGACTTTATGCACATTTGATAGCTGAAGCCAAAGAGAAGTCAAGGTGAATTCCAACTTTTCCCACTCCCCAAAAGGATAAAAGTCCATGCATTAAGTTAATACCAGAACTGTAGTGTCTGAGGTTTGTCAAGAAATGCCAAAATTATCCAGAGCATTCCCATTCTCCTTGACACCCTGGGAGAAGTCTATTGACATAAATGGAGTTGACCAGGTGGAGACAAAAATACAGATGAGCAATTACCTATAATCTGGTGAGAGGCCAGAGTGCTTTCAGAGACATTGTCAGGATGTTGAACAAGCAAATACATGTGCTTGTTCTAAGTAACAGGAGAATTTGTATTTTAAATTGCTTAGTAAATAAAGCATAAGTATTTGCACAGAAATGTCTCATCCTGCTACCTGCAGTTGAAGTTTAATCTTCCTGGAAATACCAAGAAACCTCCAGTATTGCCCTGGTCATTGCATTTTTTGTATTGCTTGCTTAATTCCTAGCCTGCTATGGATACATAAACCTGAAAGTGAGTCTCTACAGGCATTATTTTAAGACTTCATGCTAAAGTAATTCCTCACTAGTAATATCCTTTAAAGTGTTATTTTAGACAGGGTTTGGTCATTTATTTGTTATCAAAGCCTGATGCTGCTTTGACCTATTGGTTAAAGAGGAAGAAAAAGCTAGTGGTTAGTCTGTGATAGGTTTTCAGTTTTTTCAGGTGTCTGTGCTCTGCAGTACTGATCTAGGTAGAAGTATAAAGCTTTAACTGCAACAGAAAGCAAAATAAAAGAAGGTCAAACTAGGAACCTGTGTGGTGCTACTTTAAGGAGGTCTCTGTAGGGAGCACAGTTCCTGAGAGCCAGCACTGGCAGCGCTGTCACCAGCAGGAGCAGGAAACTCAGTGATGTCTGCAGCTGTCTAGAAACTCTGCAGTTGTGTTGCTGTCATTAGGGAGAAACAAACCCAAGAACCAACTGAAATTTATTAAAGAAAAATTCCTTCCAAGGTACAGATCAAGAAACACCACGTTATACATTTGAGCTGGTGATGTCAAGTTCTGCATTACACCTGGGAGTAGCTGCCTAGATTCACACATAGGTATTGTTCAGGTGACTCTCTCTAAAATACCTTTTGGCACAAACTTTCCTAATAAAAAGAAAACAAAAAAGCCATCTTCTTTCCCCAGATGAAGTAATAGTTCCTTCTGCATCATCATCATGTAGGTCTGACTCGCTGGATTTTCTATACTGTATTTTTTCTCTAGTTCTGTTTAAAACAAACAAATAAAACCCCCACCTTTCTAAGCTTTTGTTGCACTGGGTACAGCCACTGCTGGGATTTTAAACAATGGAATCTTTTAGATCACCAAATTAGTATGTAATAGTAGTCTGTTCCTAGGGAGCAGAAATCATCACTGCAAGAGAATGTGGAGAGCTCCAGGAGTTTCAAGTCAGTTATTAGCATGCTGGATAGATGAAGATGTGAGTCAGGAAGGAGTGATGGTGCAGTGCATCCTGGGGATGTTAGGGGAACACAGCAAGGCAGTTAATGTGATGAACATGTTCTGTGTTAGTGGGTATCAGTTTGTCCAGTCAAGTGAGCCATCAGGGAGATGCATAGGCTGCTGCTGCAGGTAAGCACTGCAGGGGGCATAAAGCTGAGGAGCTCCAGCTCCAGCCAAGTCCCCGGATAGCTTCAAGTTGTCTAGGTACTTACAGGAGACAAGTAGATCAATCTGTGTTTGAAAACATAGCTGAACAGTGATAATGGATTTTGCTGGTACACTGGTTTGGGTAGAAAGCTCTGCAGAGGTGTTTTAGCATGTGCCATTTGTGAAAGAGGTGTTATTGCAGCTGTCTCGGAGTGAGCTGTGAGTGGCAGCATCTAACAATATCATGATACGCTCTGCCCCCCGTTGAGTCTCCTGGAAGTCTGAAAGCTTGTTGAATCTTTTTTGTTTCCTTTTCTTTAAAAAACAAAAAAACAAAAAACAAAAAAACAAAAAACAATCCAGCAAAAGCTGCTGTGCTTTAAAATCCCTAATAATCAAATGGTGCTTATACCCACGTGGGAGTTCAGCTTCAAAGCCTTTGTGTACAAAGAAATGCAACAAAGATTTCTTTCTTTTATCTTAAGCGTGTGTAAAGTCAAACCAGCATCAAGCACTGGCAGGACCTATGCTGTCCCTGGAATGCAGTAACAAGCAATCTAATTCAAGGTCATGGACCAGCTTAAATTCTCCTGCATGTAGATTATATGAGGTTGTTTCAGGCATTTTTCCATGATCCAAATGGAAGTGCATCCTGCACACAGATGGACCCAGGTAATTTCTGAAAACTTGTATTTGATCTATACAATGTAAATAAGCAAAACTTCTTATAGCTGCATTTTGCTGTTTATTTGGGCAGCTGTCAGCTTGCAGGGGCACTTAGTGATTGTTGTTGATTTTCACGGTCATAAGCATCTTATTTGTGTGCAATCAGTTTCTTCTAATTGCCAGTTTTTAGAATGTTTCTTCTTTATTGGGGAAGAAGGTCAAATTAAAAAAAACACTACCAACAAAAGAACCCCACATCGTTCCTGTCTAAAGTACCTGTTGTATTGCTAGGGGGAATGCATTACAATCTTAGAAGCATTTCAAGTGTGGCTGCAGCATTTTCAGCTCCTTGGCTAGAAGAAAGAGTCAGCCTATTGAAGTCCTTTCAAAGCCATGCCTAAAGGCAACATTTAAACTTTTTTAAACATTGCATGGCATAGTCCTGTAATCACTTACGTTCTCATCTTTACATTGATTAAGTCCCATGTGGGTTTCACATGGGGTCTTGGGAAATAAGGATGTATTTGCAGCTTCTAACTACTAATTTTCTCAGTCTCTGTTTTTGAAATGCTGCAAATCCCTATTTAGATGCTAGGAATAATAATACAAGGGACTTTCATGCACTATTTCAGCTCTTCAATGGGATGCTGAGAGACTAGTTGCTCTAAGCCCAATGGATTTCAGTTTAAATTGTGCATCGGAGGTTACAGATCCTCTGTGTTTCCATGTGAAATTGCAGTCTGCCACACAACATCTCTCCAGTTGCCAATACGCCACTTCTCAGTCACTACACTCACTTTCTCAGCAGGAGAGGTCGTTACATGCAAACTGCCTCTTAGATGGTCATGTGTAGGGTCACCATTTTTGGATGCACTGCCTGCATTTACAGTAGAGTGGAAAAGATTTCTCCCAGCTTTGGCCCCTACTATTGCTTCCTTACTGTAAGATGAAGCTCGATGATGTGATGTGATAGCTACCCACTGCACGGTTATGCTTGTGTTTCTATTTGTATCCCCTTTTAGAGCTATTCACAAAACTTGAAATTTTTAGAATAAAATCTTCCTTCCAGAAAGGTGTATCAAGCAAACTCTTCCTGGAGAAGACAAAAGAGTTGAAATGTGAACTTGGCTTAGTCATTTGTTTGTTTGTTTAAAGGCTTTTTTCTTTTTCTTTTTTTTTTTTTTTTGTTAAGAAGAATGAAAAATGGCTCCCTCAAGAAGGAAAGCAACAACCACAAAATCTTGCAACCAATTTATATAAAGCTCTACAGTCAAAATAGTAGAAGGATGACAATTCTCAGAAATTGCCTTCAGTGAGAAGTGGCTTTGAATGTTCCCATGAAAATCAATCATTTTACAGCTTCTCAATTGCATTCTGTGGAAGCACGATACTCCTGGGACTAAGCTTTCTCACTAAGTGTGCACTGAAGGAAGTCCATGCAACACACAGCTGGCTGCTGCGTTTAGCTGAGCTTTAAGACAGCGTTAAGGAGACACTGTTAAGTGCTCAAAACCCAGAAAATGATCAATTAACAATTGTCTGTTTGGTTGTAACTTTCTCATCCTCCTGTAAGGACATTTGACAGTGCAGTCTTCCCACAACTGGATGTTTATCTACAGCACTAATGTTTTCCTTTGACACTGATTTTATATGGTGCCTTGTTCTGCAGTATGTTGTTTGTCCAGAGTCCATGAAAGTCAATTATAGGAAGAATAAGTGCTTTACTGCATCTGTGCTATGTTGAATTAGAATCCCTTAATAATCTAAACTAGCAGCAAAACTGTGTGGCCATCCATAATCTGTTCAAGTTTGAAGCTGTCAGCTCTATAGTTGGCTGCTTCGTCCTCTTGACTGCATGTTAGGAAAGCTGTGCATATGTACACACCTAAATTAGTTCTGTAGTTAACAGATTTTTGTGCAGAATTGT